TCTTAAAACAGTACAAAAACACCTTGTTCAGAAAAATTGGGGGGGGGGGGGCACTGATTGGTGGGCCTGATGGATAGAGCTTCATCAGAGCTAAACAACAAAAGAAATTTGAATCTTTAATGTTGAACAGTTTTTGAGCAATAACCATTTTTGTATGTCCAGATACCCCTTTTTCAGATAAATTGGGGGTCCGGGGGGTGGGGGGCACTGATGGTGGACCTGATTGATAGAGCTTCATCAGAGCTAAACAACAAAAGAAATCTGAAGCTTTTATGTTGAACAGTTTCTGAGTTATAAGCATTTTTGCATGTCCTGACACCCCCTCTTTGAAAGGAGCCCCCTCCTCAAATATGGAGTCTATCATAAAACGGTTGGCTGGTGCAGTGTAGGTCAGACTCATCTACAGTCCTGACAGATTTCATGTTGATCGGTGCAGCTGTTTTTGTGCTACGGTTGACCAAAAATCACTGAAAAAAAAGTAAATAAAACAGTACGAAAACAATTTTCAGATAGATTGGGGGTCCGGGGGGTGGGGGGCACTGATTGGTGGACCTGTTTGATAGAGCTTCATCAGAGCTAAACAACAAAATAAATCTGAAGTTTCTATGTTGAACAGTTTCTGAGTTATAAGCATTTTCGCTTCGCGTGCGGCGTCATAATTAAACTTGACTTTTCATCATATCTGTTTCTAAACACCTTGAAATTGGCCTCTGTCTCTTTAAGAACCTCCTTCTGCTTCTGTCCCACCCATTTCAGCACGGGGCCAGGTGTGTGTGCTCTGTGATGAGGAAGCTTAGTTTGGAGACACAGTCCAGAGGAGGAGATGGTCCCAAAGGTGGTTCTAGGCCCAACCTGTTGTCTTTGCTCCCCTGCCTGCTGCCTCAGGACACTGCAGGATTCCTCAAACATGCATGAATGAATCAAAGTAAGACTCTGGACATGTTTTTGATGAGAGGATAACATTATAACATGATATAAAGGTCAAAAAAGTTGATTTTACATCCTATTGCCCCTTTAACACTTTAGCTGGAGGACGGCAGCACCAAGCCCTGAGCCACAGCAGCCTCTAACAAGGCTGGGATCTGAAAACTCTGGAATAAAAAGACAAAAAAGATCCTGTCTTTTATACCTTTAACTGATGTTCTGTGTAGCTACATTTTTGCTAGCTTATCTTTGAGCTTCATGGTTGTGACTGGTTTCCTTCCATTTTACATGAACATGTACTTTGAAGAAGTTAAACGTTACGTGGTATGTGACAAATGTCTGATCTGATCATGTTCCAGACCTGGACACAAACATTTGTGCAGATGTTATTAATCATGCACAAAAGTGTGCATGAGGAGCATTACTCTTACAACTGGACCCTGGGTTCACTGCCAGCTCAGTTACATTTAGAGTTTTAGAATGAATCACATTTTCTAAATTTGGTTAGTTCCACCTTCACTCCTTACTCTGGTTTTTTTTTTTAAATACTGCCAATCTTTTTGACAACTTACCCAAAAGTGAGCCATTGTGTTTACTTCCATGGTCTTCTCAATCAGAGAATCTGGAGAATCCATGAATTTCTTTCCAGTCACAATTCCAGCATTGTTTACCAGTATACTGACGTCCCCCACTTCCCGCTTCACCTGCAGGAATAAAAAGAAAATACACACGTTCATATATACTTGTATGGTTATGGTGAGTGGGGATGGATATAAAATCCACATGAGTGGAGGCCTCCTAAGTGGGCCCATTGCTCTCCCCAAAAAGACACTGGTCTTCATTCAAACCTTCTCGTCCCTCAGATGAAGGTCACCAGGTTAGAATCACTCAGAGTTCTGAGCTTCTCAGGATCCATAAAGGGGTCCCCAAGAATTATTTTCCTTTGTCCACTCAGAGCCAGGCAGTGGCCTAAGTAGTGCAAAGAGGTCGGTAGTTCAATGCCACAGGCATCACACAGACCATTGTCATGGAGTCCCATCACCATTTTGTGCTGGTTGAGCAGACTGTGCCCAGTTAGGACTCCAACCAGTGTACTTAGAGTTTTCCTTGACAGGGAGATGAGAGCTTTCCCAAACCTTAGATTTGGACCGTTAATCAGTTCCTGTTCCTGTCTACAGTCCGTCAGCTCCCTCCAGATGATTGAGTGTTGACATCTAATCCAAGCCTGTAGGACAGTCCTACAGACTGTTGATGAGGTACCTACAACAGGCTCTGGGGTCAGATTTATAAAACTGGCGTACGCACAATTTGAGTCCAGAAACTTGCGTACGCCACTTTTTACGCCAAGGTTGTGATTTATAAAATCCAAACTTGACGTGAAAATGTGCGGTACCTCACAGCTCCGGCCCATGCGTACGCTCATTTTGGAGACGGGAAACTGCGACACAGATGGTGAAGTGCGGAATTAGAGCCACACTGTGTCATGATCACTGTCAGATAATTAATTTACCTTCATCAGACTTAGATTTTTATTCAACTTTATCATCAGCTTTATTAACAGTAATATTTATGCTTCTGCTGCTGCTGCTGAGCCATGTGGACCTTTGAAATAAAAAAAACTTACATCTTAAATAAAAGTTCCCGTGCTCAACTCCATTCATCTGCTTCCTCCTCAGACGACTCTGACCCACAGACCCCTCCTCCCTGATAAGAACAGCAGGACAGCAAAAGTCACGCTTTGGATACACGCGCA